AACCATCTTAGAATCAACAGTCTTATATGAATTAATAAATAGATAAGTAAATAATGATGCAATAAAGTAAAATGGAAAGTAGGAAGGTACTATTACTTGATATGGGATACTTTCAATCCCAAATATTCCGAGCGCACCAGGTTTGGGGATCGATATGCCCGGTATCGGCAACACTAATTCACTGTTTGAAATAATATAAATTTATTCAATCATCTAGATCTATAACATTAATATATAATATTAAAAAAGGATTGGAAACTGGGAGAGAGAGACTGACATACATAGTCACTTAAACAATTATTCAAATAGCTATTTCAAATATGGTCGTCGAAGCGAGACGGCGATTTCACGACCGAAAATAGCTGTGTTGCCATTAATGGATAATGTAAGATTTCACCTATCATGAAAACATGAAGATCGTAAGCGTAAGATTTATGCTGTTTGAAAGTGATTTTTGAAAAAATTCAAAAAACAGCAAGGTATTTGCATAACTGAAAAACAAGTCACGCTTGGTAAATCATATTCTAAAATCGACATCATTTTTTCGGACACACGTTTATATGTATTTCCCTATCTGTTATTAAAATAATGAGGATGACAAACGGATTAACTGACATCTACTGCTGTCTTTTCTTTGATAACTAGAATTAACACTAGAAAATACATAAATGTACTTCGCTTTGGATGAATTGCCAAGAGTACAATAAATATCAATAATTGCGTCAATGATATTTGTGAAATAGAAAGCATTGCGGCCATTTTTTTTCTCTCAAATTCTCTTATGATTGAAGTTGTGTAAGGACCTATTATAAGAAGATAAATGAGGTGTCTATTTATAAAAACAACAATCTTTTGTTAGCTTTCATGGGAACATTTTGTAAAATCTACCATGTTTCACGTGATCAACAGATAAAATTAGACGAAATTATAATTCGGCATTCCTGAGTTTCCGTTTTACTCAGAAAGTTTTGTGAACTAATTTACTTGGAATTTATTCGAAAAAAAAAAAAAACAACATTGAGGACGTCTACTGAAAAGGTATGCCATATAATTATAGCAACAAAATGTTGAGTATAAATATTGTCAATACATAGTTAATAGAGGGGACTGTCCCCCCTATTARCTATGTTCAATATTAGTTAAAAGATATTTGTACAATGACCTACGTAACTTTAAGTGCTTAGCCGATCCATATCTGCCGTAAATTCATCATATAACGAAATACTTTATACGATGTATATTGAAATAATGCTATTAATTAAAGGACGACAGCTGAAAACAAAAAGGTCGTTTCATGGAATTGATTAAGATACTCCTGATCTTACTGGCGACAGTTCTGATCGTTCAAGAATCGCTGTCACTTTCGTGTACAAAAGTAAACTGCGCTTACAATATTTGGTCATGGTGGACTCCTTGTACTTACGACTGCGGTCTGTCAGGCACGCAAAGTAGAAGCAGGACAATAAAAACATATCCCCGATGTGGTGGAGTAAGGTGTAGCTACAGCCAAATGAGGCAAACAATAGCTTGCAACAGAAATAATTGTCATAATGGCGGCACTAATGGTCACGGTTATTGTCTATGTAGAGATGGTTTTGCTGGAAGATGCTGCGAAGAAGGTAAGGAGAAAAAATATTCACKGAAATGAAACAACACATATAAACTCTTTAAAGAAAGATGCAAGTAAACAACAAAATATACAAAGAACGGTCGTAAAAACAATATATAATTGTAATTAAAAGCCCATCTACCAACATTTGCGATCGTTTTCTTTGTTTTAAAAATGTTGTGTTTGCTTTCTGATTGCTTCAGAATCAAAGATGGCGAATTTTCGTATGTTAGAAATTCGTGCAAAGTTTCTCGAATGCACGTGGCCTTTTTTACGTTTAAAAATTGCTTTTTAAACAATGTTACGGGTCGTAGTAAAGAAAACCACTTCACAACTCCTTTCTTGATCATCAACACTATTTTATTGGTTTCTTGCCTAGCCTTAAGTACTTATTCAATGTTTACTCATGGGAACATAACACAACACAACACAACACAACACAACACAACACAACACAACACAACACAACACAACACAACACAACATAGCATAGCATAGCATAGCATAGCATAGCATAGCATAGCATAGCATAACAACAGAAAAATATCATTGGTATTTTAGGCCAAATCCCATCTCAATTTGATGAGAGAGCCCGCAATTCTAATCTCTAATTCGAAATTCCCCTGAAAAGATGTCTAGACGGTTTATAAAACCCGCTATAACGTTTTTTTTTTCTGACGAATTCGACCACTGACTAACCCCAAAAGACCGCCCGTCAAACAGTAGATAACCAAAATTTCATTCACAATGCTAATCGACCCTCATAATAACTACCTTGTAAAGCCTTGCACCTTTTTTCTTGATAAGAGGGCTACACAAAATAATCGTCTCATTCAGTATTTTCAGCTTGTAAACACTACAAAGTGCTAAATGAAGCTGATCGTTCAAATATTGCACCGAGAACAAGCGTCATAAAGTGCGACAAAACGGGAGTCATTGAGAGTGGATGGTATCGATTCAAAGATCAGGCAGGGTCTCAAATTGCAACGTCGGCTGTGCCAACTTACAGTTGTGGAAGTAGTGCACCAGGGTGGATGCAGGGATCTCATCCAAGCCAAGCTGAAGGGATCGTGACTCGCAGAGTGTGTTATCACTGGGGCAACGACACTTGTATGTGGAGCAACACGATTCGTGTTCAAAGATGTGGAAGTTTTTACGTGTATGAATTAAAAAAGACTCCTGCCTGTGATCTTCGATACTGCGGAAACTA